CTTGTGGGTTTTCATTTTTGAAACCTTATGTTATGCATACACAGATAAAATCACATATCAATCACAATGTTATGCATTGATCAACATAATATGTTCACATACACGCTTTAACAAATACAACATAGTAAGCATATAAGCATGTAACATGTAACATAGTACAACCACATGAGTTTTTATTAACTATGTGTTGTCATCATCAAAGACACAGATATCACTGAGATTGTGGGTTCAGCTAAACCTGTGCTTTCCCTATCAACAATCTCAACACTTATAAGTGCATCATAATGTTTATAATTTGGACATTAAGTGTACCTACTCAGTCTACCTACTGCATAAGCAATATTAGGTCTAGAAAATTAAATTTTTTGCAATTAAGAATAATTTTTCAAATAAATTGAATACAATTAGTATTTACAACCTAAATATTCAAGTTAAATTGTTTGAAAATACATAAATCTATAAAACCTTTTTCAGAAAAAATACAACTCCTACAAAAGTCCAACATTAGTTTTCCTCATCTTTCAACGTCTACACAACTCCTGAAATATCTGCATCCTATATAACACAAACGTTATACGAACATCGCCACACACAAACAAATATGGGTGAGCTAATGAAAGAAAAAACATCAAAACATCAATACGACATATTGTTCTCAATCATCTAGTCAATACTATAAACCTATCACATTAACCAAAGTCAATAAGTAGTAAAACTATAATGATCAACCCAATTCCAAACCATACTTTCCGTCTGAAGGAATCATGCCTATACCTACAATCATTACACAAGTTTGCCGTCTAAACGCAACAGATGCCAATATCAACAATCTCTACAATCGTATGTTATCTTCCATACTCCACGACAACAATCCTGTTCACCAAAAAATGGCTAAACTAGTGACATGTTACCATACTTATAATGCACTACAACCACGTAATTCAACAAGGAAATAACTCTTCAACCAGTTAAGAATATTAGTTCTTTACCCAACCAGCAAACAAGTTAATTTCTCATATAATTTAAACACAACATAACTGAGAACTACACCAAAGATATAAAGAACTTATAAATAAAAATGTTTAACGTGTTTGTTGTTGTTGCTTCTAAATCGAGTTTCACGATTAAAAGGGCATAAATACCTAAAATTTACACATCTCCATCGCCACAATGTTGGCCAAAGCAAACAAGAAGAGTAACACAATAAAGACCATCGAAAGCTCGGATAATCTTTATATCAACCAGCATATTAGTTGCTATTCATACAAATATAGCATTTGGTTTATCATCTTTTCATACCATGACTCATGCCCTCAAGACAAAGCACTCACAATGACATTTATGATTATAGTGAAAGTTCATCAAATAAATAAAGGCATCAAACATCCTCTAAGAAAATCATTTAAACATTTGAAATAACCACAAACAATTTAGTAACAACATAACCATAGCAAAAACAAACATCATGTACTATTTTACAATAATTAATAACAGGTTAACACCCCTTACTATAATAGACATCATATGCTCCACCACTAAAGGTCTTAAATCACTTTATAGTTAAAAAAACAAACAAACTTAGGAACCAAGAGTCCATACCCATCACCGCACTGCTTACTTCTCCATGCCAAGGCCATTCAACCAAGCATGACATGTTAAATACATGATTATTTGTATTTTAGATTAGGCCTTTCAGTTTTTCAATTTTGACAGACTAATGATATAAGTCATGACATGTTTAATTCCTATTCTTGACCTAATTTTATAAGCGGCCTCCAGAACCACAACAATATAACAAAATTATATCATCATCGAGACACACTCTAACTCGAATTCAATTGGAATAATAACACATTATACTTATTTCATTGAAAATATCATTGATGTTTATCAATACATCTATATCAATGAGAAGATTCATACGAGCACATAAGTACAAAGGATGCACAATTATCATATATCAATAAACTAATCAAACACACAAAGCGTTAACTCCTCATACCTTGTCTGAAATCCTCGCGACAACTCTCGATTCCAACCTTCGCTTCTCTTGCTCTCCAGCTCTCGCGTTCACCCTTTGCCTCACAAAACTTATTCTCTCGGTGCCTTCTACTCACCTTTCTGTTTCTCACTCGAGCATTGAATGCTCGCACTCTTTCTCAACATACACACACCCTCCCCCCTCCCCCCTTCCCCTCCCCTACATTTGTCCTAGAATTTATGAGTTTTGAAGAAAAAGAAAAAGATGAGAGAATGACAGGGTTTTAGGTTTCAAAGGTTGAAGAAGAGAATGAATTCTTACTTCACTCTCGCGATTTTGTTTCAACCCAAAAGCAAAACTACAGTTTTGGCTTCAATAAGGTTTAAAGTCAGGCCCTCGCGCCATTACCACATGCACACAACACATACCACTACACCAACTCATTTTGTTTGATTATATTACCAACTAATATCCTTCTAAGTTATTTCATTTCACATGTAGCATATTTTCATTTTTAATGCAAATGATTTATGTTTCAAACCACATATCACTTACATACAAGACTTTCACACCACTACGATAAACTCTAACTAATTAATCACATGATACTAAAAAACCTTTTTTCAAATATTCTTATAACTAACTTATGCATATAATAATTAATTTCCCATATCTTACCATCAACATAAAAAATTATAGAAGATAGTTACTGTTAGTGCTGTCAAAATTGGTTAGAATCCGTGGGTCAACTTGGCCCACCATGAGTTCGGGCTAGGCTGGGTTTGAAAATAATGAAATTTTCTTATACAAGTTAATTTTTAACCCGACCCACTTAAAACCCGACTCACCCGTGTTGGCTCATCAACCCACCTAGTTTAATTTAATTATTAATTATTTTGTGTTTCAATATTATTTGTTAACATTTTTCTTATTGTATTGTAAAGGAGAATAAAGAAAAAAATATTTCAAGAGAGAAAAATATTATAAATTAACCATTTAAGACTCCAATCTTATAAATGGATAAGTAAAACAAAATTATCAATATTATAAACTTATTTATTCGTTTTTTGAGTTTGTTTTTGGATTACATTTGAGTTGTATGTTACTTTTTTTTTATATTTTGAATTGTCTTTGGAGTTTAAATTATTTTAAACTTAAATTTTATTAAATTTGAATTACAAAAAAATTGTATTTTTTATTAAAAAAAATATAATTGAGTGAGCCAGTGAACCAACCGTTGACCCACCAACCTGTGGTGGGTCAGACCAAGTTCAAATTTTTTTAACTCGCTAATAAATGAACCGAGTTAGGTTAGTTCACTAAGTAATCAACCTGTGGTGGATCGGGCTGAGTGTCCGTTTGGATAGCACTAAATATTTTAAGTTTAAAGATAAAATAATAAGAAGATATATTTAAAAAACAATTAAATCTCCGTTAATTATTATAAACTTATTTTAATAAGTAAAAGAAAATGAGTAAAATACTAAGAAAACTTGTACAAAAAAAAATAAGTTAAAACATAATTTTTATTTATTAAAGGTAAAATGGAAGTAAGAAGGTCAGGAAAAAAAATAGTTAGAAAAATATATCATCTTTATTTTTTATATTATAAATTATAGATAAATAAATAAGCAATTATAATTTCAAAATGAAACCGTAAGAAAATTTAGAAAATATATCAATAAAATAAATAAGTAGAACAATGTATTTGTTGTTAATTATTATAGACAAATAAAAAAAATAATAATAGAAGATATATAGTGTGTAAGAAAAACCCTACTCGAACGAAGCTTGTATTGTTGCAATGAAAGTGAAAAATCCTATTTAAGCCAAAGCAACCTCAGGGTGTAACCCTAGTTCCACTAAGCCACCCTCCATTTGTCTTAGCAACACATCCCCTCTTCCATTTCCATTCCAAAAACCCTTACCTTATTCACTCATTCTTCAGCACTTTGTCATCTTCAACCCTCTTCACTGTGAGTTACTTCAAATTCAATCAATTTTCCAACTTTTCATCTGGATATTCGTTCTTTCTTCGATTTTATTCTCTTTCACGACCCAATTGGATTTATCTTTTGTTTTCATTATTGTTTTTTCCCGTTTTATTTGGGTGTTCCAGTGGTTACATACAGAGGGGCCACAGAGTTGTGCCGCCATGTCCGACGAGGAAAGGGAGGAGAAGGAGTTGGATCTTTCTTCTGCCGAAGTGGTCACCAAATACAAGACAGCTGCTGAGATCGTTAACAGTATGTTCCTCACACTTTTTAATATCTTTGGTTTGTAAAATTCTTTCTAGGGTCTTGGTGTTGCTTACATTGGACACAATTTTCTTTTGGGAAGTCGGCTTACGTTTCCTGTTTTTCTTAAATTTTGATGTTTTGTTTCTGTATTCCTCTTCGATTTACAGAGGCCTTGAAGCTTGTTATTTCGGAATGTAAACCTAAGACTAAGATTGTGGATATTTGTGAGAAAGGGGATTCATATATTAGAGAGTAAGCTTATATTTATTTCTATTTTAACCTGTGTACATGTTATCTCTTATTTTTTGTTTTTCATTTCTTTTTATACTTGTAGAATTTTGCTAATAGTTGTTGTTCCTTGTCTAGGCAAACTGGAAATGTGTACAAGAATGTGAAGAGGAAGATTGAGAGAGGAGTTGCTTTTCCTACATGTATATCAGTAAACAATGTAGTCTGCCATTTCTCTCCACTAGCCAGTGATGAGACAGTGTTCGAAGAAGGTGATATATTGAAAATGTAAGATATTCAGATCATGAATTTGTGATGTGTGGAGGGAAAATGGAGTCTGTGGTTTTTGTTATTACTTAGAAGTTAATGTTTATTTCTTTGGTTGGTGCAGTGATATGGCTTGTCATATAGATGGTTTCATTGCTGCTGTGGCTCACACCCATGTACTTCAGGAAGGTCCTATCACAGGAAGGGCAGCAGATGTCATTGCCGCTGCAAATACTGCTGCAGAGGTGGCCTTGAGGCTTGTCAGGCCAGGAAAGAAGGTGATCAATTGTAACTAGTTTTTATTGTAGTTGCATCTTTGTAATGAGTTGATTTGGATTTTACTACATATTGCCTTTCTTGAGTGTGCCTGTCGTTGATGGTTGTAAATTCAAGTGTCATGTTAGCATTAAAGTTGGAGAGAAATTTGTTTGGTTCATGTGTATTATTTGAAGGAATTTCATTGCTCTGTTATGTGCCTTGTTGATTTTGATCTCTAAATGATGCAAACTGTCTTGAGCTATGGACTAGCTCCGATGAAGCTTAATTGTCATAGTTACACTGATAGAGGTCATTTATGTTTTTTCTTCCAAAGACTTGATTTAATTTTGTTCTGATTGAAATTGGTTTATATCTCTCTGATTTCTTTCCAGTTTACCATGTTCTCTTAAAATTATCCTAACGTGGTTTATGTTATATTGTAATTTGATCAAGTTTTCTCTGTATGATGAAGAAATCATAGGCTATGGATGAACTCCAATGAAGCCTGTTTCTGTCATAGTTACACTGACAGAGAATTGTTGATTTTCTATTCCATTGTGTTATTTTATCTTCTTGTTGAATGTTATCATGCACTGTCGTCAAATACTTGTTTGCCTTATAAATTAATTTTTATTCTGATGAATTTTGCAAAAACTATAAATTTGATTTTTCTTTCCAAATCCGCTGTACAACTATCTTGTTATGATCCATAATAACATTGGATTGTGAATTTATGAACTGATCTCTACATGATGAAGAAATCATAGGCTATGGTTTAACTCCAATGATGCCTCTTTTTGTCATAGTTACACTGATAGAGAGAATCGTTCGTTCTCTATTCTATATATGCCTGATTGATGGCCACTATTTACATTTTGAATGTCTAGTCCACTGGGAAATAGTATGTACCATGAGGGTTGTTTCATTTTTACGTGTAATATGACTTTTTCTCAAGTTTTTGGGGGCATTTTTGGTTGTTGACTATGATTATATATTAAAGGTTTGCGGTATCCTTTACCTCATAATCTCTTCATATACTTCTAACAGTACTGTAATTGTCTCTTTATTTAGATTCATGACTGTATATGTGGAATTTAACATTTGTAGCAAATTAATTATAACAAAAGCAACTTTGCCGAGGCAATCAGTACCATATTGGTTTCCTCTTTTCCCTGTTGCTGATACTAGAATTGGCTAAATTTTTTTCATGGCTGTACTGATGTATTCAGTCCGTGCGCTTGTCTAGTATAGCCAACATACTATGTACTAAATTCATTACTTAGTACTTGTTCTTTACTTGTATGTATTCCATATACGTAACATGTTACTGCTATATGCCTCTCTTTTTAGACTTGACAATCTTTGCTTACATTCTGATATTTGTATAAAGTTTTTAAGGTTATATTAAAGGCAACTTTGCTGAGGTGATCGGTTCCATATTGGTTTCTTCTTTTCCCTGTTTCTGATACTAGAATTGGCTGAAAATTGTTTCATGGTTGTGCTGATCTATACCGTCAGTGCACTTGTTTATTATAAGCCAACATACATTACTTATTCTTTACTTGTCTGATCATCCCTTAATATATTTTCTGATGATGTTACTGTAGTTTGCTTCGCTTTTTAGCCTTTCCAGTCTATGCTCTGATTTTGATATTTGTATCAAATGTGTATAATTAAGGCAACTTTGCCGAGGTGATCATTACCATATTGGTTTCCTCTTTTCCCTGTTGCTGATACTAGAATTGGCTGAAAATAGTTTTATAGTTGTGCTGATTTATATAGTCAGCACACTTTGTAGCCAACATAATTCTGTTAAAACCATTACGTATCTTTTACCTGAGTGTAATCTTATAGTATACTTTTTCAATGTAACTATTATTTGCCTCTCTTTTTAGTCATTTCTGTGTGTATTTGTTGCAAATGTTTAAAACTATTCTAAAGGCAACTTTGCCGAGGTGATCATTACCATATTGGTTTCCTCTTTTCCCTGTTGCTGATACTAGAATTGGCTGAAAATAGTTTTATAGTTGTGCTGATTTATATAGTCAGCACACTTTGTAGCCAACATAATTCTGTTAAAACCATTACTTATCTTTTACCTGAGTGTAATCCTACAGTATACGTTTTCAATGTAACTATTATTTGCCTCTCTTTTTAGTCATTTCTGTGTGTATTTGTTGCAAATGTTTAAAACTATACTAAAGGCAACTTTGTCGAGGTGATCAGTACCATATTGGCTTCCTCTTTTCCCTGTTGCTGATATTAGAGTTGGCTAAAAATGGTTTCACACTTGTGCTCGTTTAAGTAGTCAGTTCTCTTGTCTATTATGGCCAACATAAGTCTCTTTTAAAACCAATACTTTTCACTTCTATTGCAGAACTATAAAAGTGCGCAACAGTTTTGTGTGGATTAAATGCATACCATTTATAAAAACCTTTAGACTAAGGAAAACTTTACTATAATGATTAAAAGGATATTGATTTCCTCTTCTCCCTGTTGCCTAGTTTAAAGTAAGCTTGGAATACTGATTTCCTATTATTGTGAGAATTATTGGCTATTTTAACTAGCAAAATATTGAAATTAATGTGAGCACATCAATGATCTTCATTTTTTACAGAACAAGGATGTTACTGAAGCAATTCAAAAGGTTGCTGCTGCCTATGACTGTAAAATTGTTGAAGGTGTTCTTAGTCACCAAATGAAGCAGTTTGTTATTGATGGGAATAAAGTTGTGCTTAGTTTGTTTAATCCGGACACAAGGGTTGAAGAAGCAGAGTTTGAGGAGAATGAAGTTTATGCTATAGATATAGTAACAAGCACAGGGGATGGCAAGGTAGCATAACTATATCAACATGTTACCCAGTAAGATACATCAAATGCTTGATAAAGTAATTTTTTTTTTCTCTTGTAGCCTAAGTTATTGGATGAGAAGCAGACAACTATTTACAAGAGGGCTGTTGACAAGAGTTATCATTTGAAGATGAAAGCTTCTAGGTTTATTTTTAGTGAGATAAGTCAAAAGTTTCCAATCATGCCATTCTCTGCTAGGTAACCTGGCTACTTTCAATGTTTAATACTGTCTCTGTTGTTCTAATTCTGATTCTCTTCGTTTGTCTTAAAAGTTCATTTGTATTTTAATAGAGCTTTGGAAGAGAAAAGAGCTCGTCTGGGTTTAGTTGAATGTGTCAACCATGAACTCTTGCAGCCATATCCTGTTCTGCACGAAAAGCCTGGTAAAATTCCTTTGGCTAGTACCATAACTAAATAACCAAGTTGTCATTTATTTAAGCCTTGCCATGCATTATTTTGTTTGTTTTTTAGGTGATTATGTCGCACACATCAAATTCACAGTCTTGTTAATGCCAAATGGGTCTGATCGAGTCACATCTCATCCACTCCAAGAAATGCAGCCTACAAAATCAATTGATGATCCTGATATCAAGGCCTGGCTAGCCTTGGGCACGAAAACAAAGAAGAAAGGTGGTGGAAAGAAGAAAAAAGGTAGGTGGGAAGGGCATGTTGCTGTTCTATTATACGTTGTTTTGCCTCCTGTTTTTATGTTATTGAACAGAAAATTTACCTTTCTAAGGTTTTAATGTTCCTTGTTTTGAATGGCTCAACAAATAAGAGTGCTTGGTTGTTTGCACAGGTAAGAAAGGGGACAAGGTAGATGAGTCAGTTGAAGCTGAGCCTATGGACTCAACAAACGGGGCTACTCCTCAAGATTGAGTTATCCCAGTCCTCCAGAAAAAATGAAAGAAGATTTTCATTTCATTTTCGAGCCTCCTTTTTCAAATTTGGTACATTGTTCACCAAATTGTATTTTTCTTGGATATGAATTTTAGTATAGTATTCTGACATTAATTCTAACTGTAATTTTACCTTTGAACATTTTTGTTATAGGCGTGGGACTGTTTCTGAACCGGTTTGAAAAGAATATGTTTCGAGCTGATTTCTATAATCAGTCCAGTTTTGAAACTTTTTGTTTGTGAGAAAATTTTATTCCGGTATTCCAAAGTTGCAGCTTTTTAGATGCATGTTTCTAGGCTGGACTAGATTGAAAATAGCAGAACAGGTTTTTTATAACAAGGAGCTAGAGAAATCATCTTCCACCAACTTTGGTACGTGTTGGTGTTCTTTTCAAACCTTCCCGGTAATTTCCAAATCTTTTGTTTTGTTTAAATTAATTGTAATATGAAAGTAATAGATTTACGTTAAAAAGGTTATGTTGAAGTTAACTAAAATTATTGTGAATTCAATTAATATTGATGCACTTTCGAAAAAAACTAAGGCATTTTTTACTGGTAGAGTTGAGGGGTTCCCAAATTCCCTGTGGACCCTTGATGAAAAGCAGTTTACTGAGTCTCTTAGAAACCAAACAAAGCATTATAATTGATATAACAATAAAAGAAGAAGTAAATTAGAGAGGAGAAAAAGGTTATGTTTGTTGGCTTGGATCACAAATGTTCTAGAAAGGATCAATTGAAATTGAAATGCAATCCAGAATTTGTAATATAAATTATATATACTTAAAAAATATTTTTTTACATTCATCGTGTTAACGTGTTTGTCATCCTTCAATTTTTCATTTATTGTGAACATTATGTTAACAACGTCAATTAATATTTTTATTTATTTGTTATTTTGACAATTTATGGAAGAATAATATTAAAAAATTGATGTAATTTAGCAAAGGAATAATCTCTATATAAGAAGTTGATGAAAAATAAAGAAAATTCGTATTAAAATTATTATGCAATTCTGATAAATTTGATATTTTAGTATTTGAAGATTCGTTTTAGAACATTGTTATGATTAAAAATTACGAGACATTCAACAAAAATATGCCATATATGTCCGCGAGAGTGTAAGTTATGTTAAGTGATTTTATAGTTTATCCCACTTTTACTGAACAATTCAATTTCGAATGATAAATCATTAGGTGTGCCTTTGGAAAAGTATTTGTGTGAAACTACATTATAAAATGACAATTTTGAATAGATGAAGAAAGAAGCTAATGTTATTTTCACAATAGCCATTTGTTTCGAGATTACTACTTGCCCTTCACATGTTAAGGATTAAAATATCTCTTTTTGTAAGAGTTAGACTTTAAATTTAGTTCTTAGTGTTTTGTTAGAATCCACAACTTCTTTCATTTTTTTTTAAATCTTTCAAATCAACTTTATAATTTTAAAATGTCAGAAAATAAACCCACAACTTTTCTCAACCTTTATTCCAAAACATCTAGTCACCAAATGTTAGTTGTTTATATACTCTTTATATAGAGGTGAATTTCTAATACCTCAGCGTTACGAAGACACCAAGACATAAATACAGCATAAATCATAAATGAGGAATCTTATTAACAACATTATCGACACCATACCTCAGCGTTACGAAGAAATAGATGAATTATTTATCTGAATTTTCTCATACCATTATTATGTAATACATAATTAGAAATCACTATTTAAATATTCCATGATGATAGAAAGAATATAATAATAAAGATATAATAATCATTTTAAAGAAACGAGGAAGAAAACAAAAAGACAATTTAATCTAAATATGAATTATATGGGTTGATATGGGTTGATTTACTTGAAACTCATTTGTCACCCATATAATACGTGTTCGCTTGTTGCACATTTGTTTACGGGACATAAATTAAAATTTTCAAAATATAGTCTAATTCTAATTTATCTAGATTGGACCAATAATTCATATTGATTAAATTAATTAAATTTGGATTTTTTCTCAAATCCCATTTAAATTGGAGCCTAAGTTAAATTCACTTTGTTGATTAGATTAAATATAACTTGACCAATATACTTGATCATTAGGTCTATTAGACATTTATTGAGTGTTGTAAATGTTAATAAAAAGCATAAATAAATTATATTTTTTGAGGCGTGTATATTTACTGTCCTTAAAGACCTACCTACGATGTGTTGCCTTAGGATATAACATGAACTTCTCGGATTTTTTGAGAAACTAAAAAATTAGTAAACAAATATCTTAAATAGTAAATAACCTAGGATTTAGTAAGGAGACAAAAAGAGAGAAGATGAAAAGGAAAGAAAATAACCCATATATAACATGAACTTCTCGAATTTTCTAAGAAACTAAAAAACTAGCAATAAATTATCTTAAAGAGTAAATAACTTAGGATTTAATAAGGAGAGAGAAAGAGAATGAGAGAGATGTAAAGGAAAGAAAAAAATGTGTGGTGTTTCTTCGAGGAAAGTATGAGCTCCTGTTTATAAACCCACGAAGGAACCCATCATTTCTTTGACTTGTGGAGAAGAAACACAACGTTTAATATTAGTTGTTGCGATCCTTAAGGTTGAAATTGGGTAAGATTTGTACGATTAAAAAGACCCTTGGGATTAAATCTATGCAACACAATAGATTTACACGTTAGGAGGATAAGATAAAACTTTTGTGCATGAATTGTGAAAAGGTGGAGTTGTTGAGAAATTTAGGTGTCTTCCATGATTCGTGACAACCAATTCAGAGATGAAGCGATTAAGGTCACACCCTTTAATACTGGTAGGACACTTCCTCTAGGTTGAATCATATAAATTTCTTCCTCTAACTCACAATTTAGAAAAGTGGTTTTAACATTTATTTGGTGTATCACTAGTTTATGAATATAGAGCTAACAATACCTGAATAGAGGAAATCCTAATCAAAGGGGAAAAAGTATCAAAGTAATCTATGTTGAGTTTTCGGGTAGAACCTTTTGCTACTAATATTGTCTTATACTTCTCTATGGATCCATCAGAATGATATTTTTTCTTAAAGATTCACTTAAAACCAATGAGTTTTGCGTTTTTTTTTGGTAAATCTATTAAGGTACAAGTATTACTTTTCTTAATTGATTCAATTTCAATCATAATGACCTTATCCCAATGTGTTGCATTAGGAGAAATATGTCATTTTCAACTAGATAAGTATAAAAGTCATCTCCAAACGAAGTTTTCGTCCTCTATCTTTCACTTCTTCTCAAATCCTCACACATGACATCATTATTAGTATTTGAGCTTATTTACTTGGATGATTCCCACT